TTTAATATTAGTAAAGTAAAAGAAACTCGAATATTCATATAATTTTATAGTAGGTACCTACTATTGAAAACTTCAAGTGGGTTTTTTTCAAAAAGTAATATTTTAATGATATTAAATGAAATAAAAATTTAAATAATATACTCTGGAAAGATCAATTTTTCAAATATTGTTGCATGCTTTATATATTAATAAACAGGTTATTATTATTAATTCATATGTTTAAAAAAATTGAAAAGAAACAATTTTTTTCTTTTTTTACCAAGTGATACATTAACAAATTTAAACAGTTTTATTTTCTGGCTTTAAAAAAAAAAAAAAAAGCAGAGGTAAAACTTTTTATAAGAGAACTTTTTAAAATTATTTATCTAAAAATGAAATCATTTTCCTAGGGTTAATTATTTGAAAACAAATGGGACAAGTAACTGATACTCTTTATAATTATACGTAGTTTTAATTTCACTTTCTATTAACCTTATTATAAAAACATGTAAGACCATTAAATATTTATTTCAGTTTTTTATTTAACTCAAGTCAGATGAAATTTTAGTTTTTACTGATTATAAATATTTACAGATTATAATTTTATAATAGGTAATATCCATATGTTTAATAAATATAGTAAATAAATGTGTGTGAAAACAAAAAGATTAATAAACTTGTTCCTTTTATATTACTGCATTTATATTTTATAATTCTTGAGTTAAAAAATTATGAAACGTAATGTACTTAAAAATAAAGAAGATTCAAATATGTATTAGTGATAATGCGTTATTTAAACTTAATATAAAATACATATAACCAGGGTTCCCCAAGTGGGCCCACTTTGAAAAAACCCACTTGGTGGTTTTTTTCACAAATTGTTTTTTTTTTAAAATTTGGTTCAAAAAGAAGTATCTCCTAATACTATCATTGGACATATCGTTGAAGTTAACAAATATTTTAGAAATGTGCATCAAGCACATGGATGGGCAAATGAAAAAAACTGCTTGATGACCAAATGATACTAGGTGGAATTCATATTGTGAGCGCGTAAAAACTTTTGCCAATAATTACCATAAATATGAAGAGATTGTTCTTGAACAATTTTATATGTCAAAAAAATTAAATAATGTTGGGCTTTACCAATAAACTATCAATTGGGAAAAACAGATATCAATTGTTTCTGAAGCTTTAAAAAAGCTTCAACCAGAAAACATTTCAATTTCAGAACCTGTTGAAATATGAATTAACTTACTATCGTGTGATGAATTAGAATCCCATAAACATTTTGTTAAAAGATCAGGCTGTTCAGCCACATCATTTATCAGCATATGCATCCTGGATCCCGAAACAAGGGGACAATTTTTAAATGATGAACAAGACCAATTAGCAGAAAGCTGTCTTTCTAAGCATCATCCAGAATTTCTGCCACGTGTTATGGCATCCAAAATTTCCGATCCTGAATACTTTCCAAAATCAATGATGCTTGACACTGTTATTGAACAGTTTTCATCAAAAAATAGTGGAAAATTATGGCAAAAAAAAAAAAAAAATAAGTAAATAAATAAAATTCCTAGCTTCCACAAAATTTCTGTCAATTCTTTTTTCTTTGCACTCAGCACCAGCATCCTCTGTCTCTATCGAAAGACACTTTTCAACTTTCGGTTTGGTGCAGAGTAAACTTCGAAATAGATTAGGAATAGATAAAGCTACAAAACTCGTAAAAGTGTATTGCCATCTAAGAGAGAAATGTAGACACTTTGAATCTGTTGTATGATAATAATAATAAAGGAAAAAATTGACCTTTTTTTTAAAGTTAACTCTTAACATCTGCTGACAATTTTTAACTATTTGGAGAAAGTTTATCACAATTAAAAAACAGTTAAAAATTAAAATATTACTTTTAAGATTTTTTAAATATTTTTAAGATTTCATTTGAATACAATTTATTTTGTTTCTTTTAATCATGTTTAAAAATATTGAAAGCAAACAAAAAAAAATTTATTAAGTGATACATTAAACAACAATAAACAAATTTAAAGTTTTATTATCTGATTTTAAAAAAATGAGCTATAACTTTTTATATATGCTTTTTTATAATTTTAAGATTAATTTGTTTTTTGAAACTATAAAGTTAAAATGCATATATTTATCTAAATATTTGAAAAAAGGGACAAGTAACTGATACTCTTTATAATTATACATAATTTTAATTTCACTTTCTATTAATCGTATTATAAAAACATTGAAGACCATTAAATATTTATTCCAGTTTAATTTTATTACAGGTAAAAGTCAGATGAAATTTTAGTGTTTACTTATACAACACTATTTAATAAATAAAAATATTTTCACAGTAAAATTTATGAGCACTAAATGAAAAAACCCAATTTTCCCCGGGTTTTTTCAAATAAAACCCAATTTTCCCCGGGTTTTTTCAATAAAACCCAGGCGGGTTGGGTTTTTTCAAAAATTCCCTGGTTTTTTCAAACCCTGCTTACCCATGCACTTTCATAGGACTATTTACAGTGAACTCTCACTTATGTGACGGCCTGAGAGACTAACAGAAAAAAGAAAACAAGTGAAAAAACTATTCAAAATTGTAAAACGCAACAGAAATTGCTATTTTAACACAAATATTCTGATGATTTAAAGATTAAATGTTAGTATTACATTAATAACTAACAATAGTAACATATCAAATAACTATTTTTAATCCACAATTGATGCTTATTCTTGTTTTGTAAAAGCTTTTTTCTTCATAGTCATAGAAATAAGATAGTTGAGTGTGAGTTGCTGAATTAAACAGCAAATAGTCTTGAGTAGTATTTAAAGCTTTTAATGCTTTTGTATAATTTGTGCAACTTTTTCTTCATTTTTGTCATTATCATCATTCATTCCATCATCAGTCATTTCACTAGTAATGTTTGCAAATCGTTATCACTAAAATCAATATTCCCATTTTTTTTCAGTTTTGTTGATTTGATCACCACATTAATTTTCATCAGAAAATAGAAATCCTGCTTTTTTTGAAGCAATTTCTTATGCTAGAATCTCCAATACTCCTCCATGCAGCGCATGCCATATTCATACACGAAGAATTGAAATTTTGACATTGAAAATGCCATTGTCTACCGTTGACCAGCCTGTTTCTAGTTTAGTAAGATATTACAGGTAATCAAAGTTTGAAATCAAAGTTTTCCTGCTGTGAAATTTTAAGTAACGAATTATATTTTTAAAAAAATCAAAGGCTGTAGTTTACTTATGCAGTGTGAATTAAAGAAACTACTTTAAACTGAGCAAAATTTGGCAGATCTCCTGGATGGGCTAGTTTATAGAAAAGCAAGGTCTCTTTGACTTTCTACTATTGGTGGTGTAATGGATATTTTTCTCGAAACAACAAAGGTGAAATACTTGCAAGAGAAAGAAAAACAAACCACCGCCCTGCATCCATCAACTTATACTTTTATTATCTTCAACAAAGAGATTTTTTGTTTTGTTTTATTTTTAATTCGAGAACTTTTCCTTAAAAAATTGATTTTTTCCTATTTTGCGAAGAAAAACTTTTTTAGCCATTATATGAAAGTTTTTGGCTTATAATCGAAATATTTATTTTTAAAGCGACACACAAACAAATGATAATTATTATTTTCCTTTAAAATGAGCAGGGACCTGTAAAAATCTTCGTATAAATGAATAAGACACATAAAAGAGGTGGTGCATAAGTGAGAGGTCACGGTCTTTAATAACATCATTATAACATCTTAATACCTACAGTTTTAAAAATGTTTTTAGACACAAAAATGAAAAGAAAAAAAAATTTGAAGCTAAGGTAAGCATTTTTCATTACATTACATGATACTATAGACAGTAACATATATGGGTTAAATGTCCTTTAAATTAATATGATTAATCAAATTATAGATTAATGAACCTCTGAATTTCCCAAATTGAGGGTTGGCTTTATGCAATAGAAGCAATCAGATTCCTTCTATGTAAACCTACAGGAAATGAAAGAATAAAATTTCCTAATTTAATCAAATAATGAATAAATATTTTGAAATAATTTTTTGCTTAATTTATTCATTGAAATGTGTTCAATTGAATGCAGCAAGCAAATTATCAAATATTTCAAAAACATTTCCAAATTTCTATGTTTTAAAATACTTACAATACCTCAAATTTCGTAACATAGTCGAAAAGATTTGATTTTGGTTCAATGACATGGATAGTACCTGAACTGTTACCTCTCTTTCCGAACTTCCACATCAAAAGGACTATTAGCAGTTTCATGAAATTTTTTAAAAAACAGAATTTTGAAAAACTGCTACACATTAGGATATGCACAAAAAAAAACTTCTATATACTAATTCATTTAGGGGATGCTGAAAAATGTTAGTACAGTATCCATATTTCTATTCATAGAATCTATTATTTATTCATATTTCTATTAGGCTTCGCGTGCAGATCCCAAAGCGGGGTGCCATCCCTTCCGCAGAGGATCAAAATTGTGATGGCATGTCTTCGGCTCATCCTCAGGGATGTTTCCCAGACTGTCGCCAATAGCACATTGTGTAGCTCTATTGTGACGCAAATGAACAAGAAGATATTCATAGTAGTAAATTAGGTACCTATTACAGCAGCACTTATAACCACAATATCAGCAACGCCTATTACCACAGTTAATAAAGCATCACTATCACTGACGCCAGGAATAATTTGATGCTTTTTTTTCATGGAACTTTACCATTAAGTAACAAATCATACTGGAAAATATGCCAAATAAATTCGTAACAAATAAATAAAACGAATAATATGGAGATTTCTGGAAAATTAATGTTTCAAAAATATCCAAAACCATAGGTACATACAACTAAATGAGAGTTAATATAACAATAGTAAAACTAAAGTTTTTAATATCTTATTATTTAAATTTGCAATAATTAAATAAAATTAACAGACATTATATATTAAGAAAATAAAAACAGGTAGTAAAAATAACAAACATACTATAAACTTACTTATTTTTTGATAAAGTGCTGGTACTCAAAAGACGAGTCACTTGTTTCAAATTAGTTGAACTGCAATAAACGGGTCTGAAAATACTTCTTTTAATGGCATTAAAAGCAGATGGGATTTTAGTAAGATTCATTGTTAAAGAACAGAAATAAACACTACACTACATTAAAATTCATAAGAAAAATTAACAACCATTCGCGACGACAACAAGTGATAAACAAATATAATTTCGAAACCAACCTTTTTCGTCCCCATAACGTTATTTACCTCAGCTACAGTTAATTTAAACGACCGGCAAATTCAAAAAACTGAGGAACGTGAAAGCCGAGAGATTAATATCAAAAGTTGCAATGCGAGAAATAGCAAAATCCTGCCCCGTTGATTATTAATAGTTTATTACGTATTTTATTAGCATCACGTTTTGAAAAAAAAACTTAAATAAATATTTAGTTTCTATGCAGTTAAATTTAGAGAATATTTGCAGATTTATTTTTGGCAACCATTTGTACTTTACCCACAATCGATTTGGATTGTTTATGAAAATTTAGGTGACCTTCCAATCACTCTTTTAATTTCTATAACGAATTGTAACTCGTTCTTGTAAAAGAATGGCTTTATTATTAAAAGGTATAAAAGCTCCTATTAACTTGCGTCAGGTATGTTGCGTAACTTACCGCTACAAGACAACCGAAAAAAAATTACCCCACTACATTGACCATGCAACTGGATTAGAACGTAAAGAGTTGCTTGCAAGAGCTGCCGGTAATGATGACCCCTTTGGAATGAAAGTCTTAAAAAGGGGTGCCGGTACCAAGGATAATCCTAATTTGGTTCCTTCTTTTGAAAGCAAGAGAATTGTCGGCTGCATTTGTGATGAAGATTCGACTGCTATCAACTGGCTATGGGTACACAAGGATGACCCTAAAAGATGTGCTTGCGGTCATTGGTTTAAATTAGTTGATGCTAAACCACTGTAAAAAAATTAATTTCAATCTGTGTATCTAGTGCATTGTTGCAGTTCTGCTATGTAAAAGTTTCAAACGATTATTAAATATAATTTATACTTTATTGTTAAATGTTATTTTGTTCAAATATATTTTTTAAAACAAAACATTGTGAAAATTTCCATTGCAATTAAACTCTTATGATTTAAAGTTACTTCTATTTATTTTATTTACATTTGTTTGAACTTATTCTATGCCACATTGTAGTGATACTTAAAATAATGATATAATTATAAAGAGCGTGATCCATATTCTGATCTGTCAAGCCAACTACAATTAAATAAATTTTAAACTTAGATTAATTTTTTTAAGAATAGATTTAAAAACTACAACATGTAGATGTTTGCCTGGTGGGTGGTTACGACTTATACCTTTAGATTTTTTGACCCTTTCTGTGATGTTTTTTTTAGTTTCTCGCGGGCCGCTGCCCGGAAGTTGCCAAGACTTGGTGATTATTCTGCCACATATCAGGATACAAATTCTCCCCAAGAGATATATTAATAATATACTGTAATGCTAAGTTAGAGAAGATTTGCATATGGATGCATGTTCAGTTACCATAGAGCATTTTAATCAAAATCAGTCAGTTATTGTGTGATCCTTACCTTGTAAATACAAATTGTGAATTCACAAATAACATAGCATTAAATTAACGAAAACTGTTATTACAATACTAAATTAATTTACGGGTTAGAGTTAATAAATTTCAATGACCACCGACATTCTTTTGTTTTTTGCAGGAGAAATATTTTTAATAGCAGTAATAATAATGAAAACACAGACAGCTATAATTTATTCCCGGTAATAATGGCATTGGTTGTAGATAATATCTGACAAAGTGAATTTATTATTTGTTGGACTTTGTAAGGTCGTTGTTAGAGCAGTGTGCTAACATCAACTTACTCAAGAAATCACCTTCTGAGGAGCTAAAAAAGACCTACAAAAACTATGCCACAAAAAAACCCAGCTGGGAATGAGTATCGTAAGCGTTTTCCTGAAGGTCGCTTAATGTCGAAAATCAACCTCTGACTGAGCAAGTCTCCTTTTCCACTGCAGATGAAAGTGTTAGAGAAATCCAGCTTGCAAATAAACAAGTAATCAGTGATGTTATTGCCTCCGAACTTGGAATTTCACATTGGAGTGTTAATAACATTCTTTATGATGTTTGCACATGGTTCTTAAAATGCTATTGTATGTATGAAAGGGGAGAGGGAATATTTGCAGGATTTGATTTACATGTCTGATGAAGATTATAGCTTCTCTATGAAAATAGTGATAGGTGATGAGACACTGTGCTTTCTTTACGGGTTGCCACTCCAATATTTAAATAACTGGGTAAATGCAGGGTATTATGAGTTTTTCTTTATCAACTGAGGAAATGCAGGGAAAAACTAGTTCATTTACTATAGCATTATTTGTTTAAAATATGTTCAGCTGTTTCTTTTTTTTGTAACTTTTTCTAGCAACTAGTATATTTACACCAATACAGCTCATAAAAGAGCACAGTAATTTTGTTTTTAACCTCTTAATATATTGTGTATAATATGAACAGGGAAAATGCAGGGATTTTTTTCTTCAAATTCCTTGTGTTTTCTTTGAGTGGCAACCCTGGGAAAGCAAAAGCATCATTAAGTAACGAGAAATTGAACTTGGGCAAAAGCAGAGAGAAAGTGATGTTGGAGGTGTTTTTTGAATATGAAAACGTCATTGGCTAAAAATTTATTCCTGAAGGCCAAACTGTCAACAAAGATCTTTACATGAAGATTCTTAAATGACCATGAGATTCAATCAGACGGAAAAGACTTGAAAAATGAGTAACAAACGATTGGTTTCTTTTCTTGCAAAGCTCCATCTTTTAGTTGCAATAATTTTAGGAAGTAAAGTTTGTATGTTGTAAAAATGTTATGATAATAATTTTATAATTAGCAACGAAAAAAAACATTCGATTTTACACAATTTTTGAATAAACTAGCACATAAGTTGTTAAAAATAAAAAGCATATGATATTCTTTTCTTTGTAGACAGCAAAATTATTATCAAAGCATTTTAACAACATACAAGCACTTTACTTTCTAAAATTATTTTGACTAAAAAAAAAGTTTTTGTAACTGAAAAAAAGTGCTATAACTTTGGGAGAAATAAAAAAAAAAATCATTTGATTTTACACAATTTTTGAATAAACTAGCACATAAGTTGTTAAAAATAAAAAGCATATGATAATTTTTTCTTTGTAGACAGCAAAATTATTATCAAAGCATTTTAACAACATACAAGCACTTTACATTCTAAAATTATTTTGACTAAAAAAAAAAGTTTTTGTAACTGAAAAAAAAGTGCTTTAACTTTGGGAGGAATAAAAAAATCATTTGATTTTACACAATTTTTGAATAAACTAGCACATAAGTTGTTAAAAATAAAAAGCATATGATATTTTTTTCTTTGTTGACAGCAAAATTATTATCAAAGCATTTTAACAACATACAAGCACTTTACTTTCTAAAATTATTTTGACTAAAAAAAAAAGTTTTTGTAACTGAAAAAAAGTGCTATAACTTTGGGAGAAATAAAAAAAAAACCTATTTATTTGCGAATAAGTACCTCGTTAGAGACAGTGAAATACCTTTCATATTCTTCTGGCCTATCACCAGATTTTTGCCTGTTTCTACGGCTGAAAATGAAAGGTCACCTTTTAGGGATTCAAATAAGGTGATTGAAAACAGGGCAAAGCAACTGACCGATCTCTAAAAAAAATTTTTCAGGAGTATTTTAAACAGTTATACCAACACTAGAAGGAGTGAGAAAGTACTTTGAAGGCAGTAAAATTATTGTTCAATTTTTTAATGATTTGTAATTGACCTATTCTGAGAACTTTTTGACCTACGTATTTTGATCGTAGCTGTTCTGATAGTCATGCTTTTCCTGGTAAAAACAAAATGTTTTTAGCTAATCATCCTGATTTTTGTGTGTTCAGAGCATGACATTTTTTTAAGAGAACAAATACGAATTTAAGATAAAAATCGATTTGGAATTTTGATCCAAATTTTTATGTTGTTAATTTACGTCGCACTAGAGCTGCACAATGGGCTATTGGCGACGGTTTGGGAATCATCCCGGAGGATGATCCAAAGACATGCCATCACAATTTTAATCCTCTGCGGAAGGGATGGCACCCCCGCTTCGGTAGCCCGACGACCTGCCCCCGAAGTCGAGCACTTTACGGTAGCACAGTTTAACGAGGACCAATACCGCACACCCTCAGTCCCTACGCAGGCTGATACAAGTGGTCACCCACCCGCACACTGACTGTAGCCAGTGATGCTTGACTTCGGTGATCTGCTGGGAACCCTGTCTTAACGATCAGTCCACTGGGGGACGATCCAAATTTTTACTTCAATTAAATGCTTTTAGAAATCACAAAATACTATAATAATTTCAAGTTAAAGTCTGTCTACTTAAATTATTTATACATGATTCAAGCCTTACCCACAGGATTCATTGTTTCAACCTTTTTAAGAATTTTTATTATATTAAAAGGAATATCAATTAGCAATTTTACATTGTCATGCAGAAGCAGTGGAATATAAATCATTAATTTCTCTTCATGTCAATTCTAACCTATAATACAGTAATCATATCAAATTTTTATATGATGAATTCACCAATAAAATTACCTTCGAACAAAATTTTGAGTAACATATTGTGTTTTCATTTTCAGATATCTGAAACCCTATTATTTGATTTTAGGAAATTTTGAACTTGTATGCAAATTTTAACTATATATTGGCATAGTTTTTTATTTTTTTTTATTGTTAAATGCAACAGCATTATAAAAATTTCTGATAAATTGATTTAAAACTATGAAGAGTTGTTTAATATTAATGAAATTATATTAGAAACAGTTATAACTCTGTTTTCAACAAAGTAATTCTAAAATTAAAAATAGTTAATTTCAATGTTCCCCCTAAGGGTTTTTTGAAGAAAAGTTCGCCCAGCCTGCCTTTTGATCTCTATAAATACGCCTTTGTCTTTTTTTGTAAAAATAAGCCACCATCCCTTAAAAATACTGCCTTTTTATTCAAAATCCATTAAAAAATGGACTGTTTAAATAATAGTTGATAAAATTATTTGCGTTTATAGGTTTAATTCTGATTACTATTTCAAATATTTGTTTTGTTAGGATTATTCTCAACTTGTTAAATTCTTATAAGTATCTCCTTTTTTCATGGAGGGATATTAATAAATTTTTAATGATTTTAATTTTTAAAATTATTTCTTAAATAAAAACATTGTTTTTAAATGAATACATTAAAAAAAAAAGCAATTTTAAATGTTCATTATCCTATAATTTTGAAGTTGTTTATCAATTAATAATTTTTTTTTTTTTTTAGTTCACTTCTTTTGAAAAAAATTCTGAACAGAGATTGTCTATATTGCCTTTAATTATTTTTATAAACTATACATTTTTCTCTTATTCTGATAATGAGTGATAATTATTTTTTGAAATATACTTACACATAACACAGTATAGGAGAATAATTTAAAAATTGTTGAGGATCAAATTTAGGTATTACATAATATTACACATTTTGATTAACTTTTATGGTGTTAAATGAGTGCCCTTTTCTGAGAGGCAGCACCCCGCCCTTATTTATTCCTAAGAAGACCTCTGATATTTTACTATTCTTTTGTGATAAAATTTGCTTTTAAAAGATGTAAGCAAATATACTTTTTTAAATTATTTTAGAGCAAGTTATACTGAAATTCTGATAGCGCAAAATTGGGAGAGGCAATACCTCCAGACATACGTCCAAAATTTTTTCAAGGATTCCTAATTTAGATCAATCGGAAGAATCGAAATAAGAGGAATTTACAATACCACCTTTAGCATTCACGAATGTCTAATGCTCTTGGAGGTACATCCCAAATGTTTTGGGTTTAGTTTTAAAGTCGTTGTGCTAACACCCACATAAAACTTAAAAAGAATACAATATCTAGATTTAAGATTAGTCCTGAAAGGGCCATAACTGTTCCAATGACAGCAGAAAGAAAAAGCAATTCCAAATCCTGTATTGCATGGTTCAGCTCATGATCAGGTATACTGTCACTAATTGTTGTGGATTAGGAATAGGATAGCCTGGTTGGCAGGGCACTGAGCTTATGTCCAAGAGGTTGTGGGTTCGAAATCCACCGGCCAGAGACATAATATTAATAATGTAATATTAGTAAATGGTGACTGATGCACGTTAAATATGTCGAGTTGCAAAGTTCTCCTTGTTCTTATAACAAATCATACCTCTGGGGGATATTGATCCAGGAGTTTCCTCATTTTCTGGATTGGTTCAAAATTACAAGGATACCGAGTTGAACATTAGTAGTTGTAAACCCAAAATTGAGTAGGCTGTTCAACGACAGTTATAAAAAAAAAGGTTGTGGGTACTTAAATTATTTGTGATTAATGTGAGAAATTACACGAGGATTTTTTTTTTTTTAGTATGGGCAAAACAAACACATAGTAGCCATTCAAAAAGATATTTAACAATAACCACTTAATTTATGTTAAGTTTCTCGAATTTACTATACTTTTTTATGCATACCATTTAAAATAAGCAGGTTCACTGATAGTTTGTATTTTGTTAAATTTTAAGAAATTTGTTATACTATTTCCACATGCTGCCCAAATTTAGAATAATGCTATTTAGAAAAAAATATCTCTTAAATTTCTGTTTTATATTGCATAGCAAGATTACATGAAACAGAGTATTATAAGGCTGAAGTTGCAAAGGTAGCTTTCTACTCACGTGTTATTTAAAGCATTTTTGGAGGAATAATACAATAACTTTAGACACCTGAGCTCTGGAATGTCTGTTTTTACTAAGAGGCTAGATGTAGCAAAGTTATCTACCTAATATACTAAACATAAGTAGTCTTCTTTAAAATCAAAACGAGCAGCGTTGCCCCCAAGGGATTTTCTTTCTGATACAAAACTTGTTACACAATACAACTTGTCGAACAATCTTCCAGTGATGTAAATATTTACATTAAAAACTAAACGGTTTAATGATTATTTCATAACAGTAGTATTGAGCACATGACATGTATAAATACTGATTATACACACAAAATGTCCAAATTTAGACTGAGAGTTTTCCAAAAATTATAACTGAAAAACAGAATTTTTTTGCTAATTCATACAGCAGGTCATATATTTTCCCTCTCAGAATTTCTGTTTTACACCCAAAATTTCCTGACTTATCTATTTAACCGCTCTCTTAATTTCAATTTGATGGGTTGTTCGTATTTGAATACACGAGTGCTTAGGAAAGTAGGTTTGTTTATTCGTTTGGTTTATGGCTGATGTGAAATGTTATAACATGATATTATCAAAAAATTACAAAATTTTCAAGTATTTTACTTTAATTTATATGCTATTCTGCATCGTCATCTACTGAAAAAATTTGAACAAAACTAAATAATTTTGAGAAAAAAAATTTAAGTCCTGTCACATGATTAGTAACAATAATAATTATTATTTTTTTAACTATAACCTTTTGCTGTTATAAATATTTGAAAACCGTGAGTCTAATTTGGAAATCCTCTATTTCCTAAATTATTAATATATATTTTGCAATAAATATTTTAACTCTTTGCACATAAACTTAAGTTCAAAAATACGACATACATCCCTTGATTAACATTTTATTATATTTATTTATGATATATACATTTATAATATTTACCAAACAATGTTTACAAAAAGAAAGATTATGCAGTCAATTGTACAATTCAATAAGAAACCAATTGGAACGTAACTCGCTCACACTAATTGGAATCAGTTCCAATTATCTTGGACACATGTATCTTTTTGTTGGAAACAGCCACAACATAAGAGAAGTCCTCATAATTTACTATAAAGAACAAAACAATACATTATATGATCATGCATTTCTAATCATAAAACAGAAAAACAATTTTTAATAACAGGGATAATAGAAATATTTAATACAATGGTTGCTCAAATAAAAATGAGAAAGGTTCAATAGATTCCTTGACATGAAAGCATTTAAAGTGAATGTAAAGTCAAGCTAATCAGGGCTCCTAGTTGTTCCTAGGAGCCCTGACGTGAAATGTTATCATTGTTTGAGAATTGTAGAGGAACATTTTTGAATTCCTGATTTTAAAAAAATCATGCCTTTATTTGTCTTGATTTTTTTTCCTGATACTTTTGATACTCAGAACTAACAATTTCAACAAACACTTGATTAAAAAAGAATTATCAAATTTGTTTTAAAAATTACTTTCACTAGAAAAGAAATAAGAAAAACTACAAAACAAAAAAAGATTATTTTGTAATAATATTTTATCAGAGTGTATCAAGTATCTAGTTATGAAGTAATATTTGTGTTATTCGGTAGGTTATCACATAGCAATAAGCAACTCTTTGATAAAAAAGTATCTTTCATTTAAGAACATCGATTCTATTTTTATTTACTTTACTTTTTATCTCAAAATTAAGTAATCAATCCGTTCCTATGGAACTTAAGCGTTATACAAAAAGAGCCGTCATTCGCAATTTATGAAAATAAAATCCCTTTAAAATAGAATAGAAAATGCAAACAACTTTGGTACAGAACATTGTTGGTTCAATCAATATTGTTAAATTAAAAGCAAATGATATTCTGTTAGAAATAAATGAAAACAAAAATAATTTTATCTTCCTAATTAAGGACTTAATCAATCAAGAGTTTTTTTTTAAACAAACAATAGGGTTGAGTTGATTTTATAAATGACAGTCTGTACAAATTTTATGAGGATTTAACTACTCCAAGTAGCAATCAGCTAAGCATACATACCTGATAATTTCTTGAAACCATCTGCTTTATCAGATAAGGAAAGAACTGTTTTATCAGCTCCTTTAACCATCTGGTGGAAAATGCTTGCAACATTTTCATTGTTTTCTAAATCTCCAGATGACTAAAAAAATAGCACAGGGTTACTTGCATGTCTGTATCATTTAACAATAAAAATTATAAATTTTTTTATTTATTATCACTTGTAGGCAAAAGTAAATATTCAATCGAGTATAACCCCCCCCCCCAGCACAATAAATGAATCTCCATTTATAATGGTTAGAACTTTTGAAAGAAGAAAAAAATACTTATACTGGATATAAAAAAAAATAAAAAAAATAGTAGACGCTCTTTAGGAATTTTTTAAATAAATATGCTAAAACTCGTTTACAGAAATGTGGCAAATTAAACCCTGGTTTGATTTTTTTATAATAATTACAACAAAAACAGCCCATTCAACAAATTTTAAAATGATTTTTTTTTTTAGGGTTAAGGCAGTGTTTCCTAAAGTGTGGTACGCGTACCCCCAGGGGTATGGGAACAGTTTAGCAAGGGCACACGTTTACGAATTATCTTGCAACAAACAAAAATTTCAAACCTTTTTTATTTAAAAACAAAAGCTAGCTATTCAAATGTACGATTACGTATTTTTCTTTTGGCAATTTTTTGCAGAGTTAGCAGTTAATAATTAGTGGTGTCAACAGCCAGTTGTGATTTTTAACTTTTGTGCAATTTTTCTGTAGTAAAGGTTTGTAATGAATTCTACTTATTTTGCTTATTTTTATAAAATATAATTTTTATCCTGTTATCACAGCAAAAACAATATCATCCTTCTCACTGATGCAAATAAACTTATTATCACAACTTTGTACCAAGAAAGAAAAATAAACATAGTTTTAAAAAAATACATAAATTTTTTTATCAGTGGTACACAGCGTTATGAAAAGTTTAGAAAGGGTACACAAAAGTCATAAGTTTGGGAAACATTGGGTTAAGGGATTAGGCCACTCTAACCAGACCTAATTATGCTTGGAAAATTTTCTCAGCAAAACAATAAAATAAACTGAAATTCAGAAAAAGATTCTTCATTATACAACTCATTTTAAAATGAATTTTTCAAAATTAAAACAGATGCTGCAAACCTTTTCTTTGATGAATCTTTTTCTCTTTTTTCAGGGGGGGGGGGGCATATTGCAATAACAGCAAAAACTGTATTTTTAAGATTAAGATATTTCAACTGACATATTTGAATTATTGTCAGATAACTGCATTTAAAAGTAAAATTTGAAATTTCTAAAATAAATCGTTTGGAAACTAAAATTACGATAAAAACTATGTACTTATATGCGTAAAAAATGCAATTTAAAATTTAAAACATGAAATCAATAGGGTGACCTGGGGTAATTCCTGATCTAAAAACGCAAACATCTATTTTGTGAAAAAACTATTTGAAATAGAATTTTAATATTTACTGGAAGTTTGAGGCTATATGAGATGAGTCCAATGCCACCTTCTTTTGTTTGAAAATCTAATTAGAATTTAAAAGATTTTAAATATTTAGTGATCAGGAATTACCCCTGGTCTTGATCATTTCTGGGGTAATTCCTGATCACTTCTGGGGTAATTATTGATCACCAGTTTTTGTTGTAAAGGGGCTGCTTAAAAATAATTATATAATGGTAATTAACAAATAAAACATCAAGATCAAACAAATAAACCAAAAAGATATGTTTAAGCTGCTAATAAAATGATTTATTTAAAAAGCAAGAAGAACGATTAACACCTTAAAATTTCAAAAATCTTTGTATTGTGCCATACATTTTAGGCAATCAGCCAACTCATTCTCATGTTCTTCTGAAATATAAGAGAGTTCCCACATGGGTTACTTTTGCTGGATTTTTTAACTTCATTAAGGGAAAGTGTAAAGTTAAGTAAGGTATGTCAACAGCTCTGGCAGCAGCTCTCACACTGAAATTTTCATTTTCAATCATTAAAAGAAATTCACTAATTTTGTTTTCTAGAAGCTTAGTATCCTTTTTAGGCTTATAATTTCTCACCATATTTATATTAGGTTAATTTATCAACTTAAAAATTATTCTAACAATGTACACACATAAAATTAAGATAGAAGCAAGGTAAGACAAACCAGAAATGGTGCAAATCAGAATACAGTCTTGTATACAGTTAAAAACAAATTTTGTGATGACAGTTAAAATATATTTTATAGTTGTTCCACTTAATAAATATGAACTGTTATTTAAGAAAAGACAATTAGCTATTTATAAGCTATTTTATATACTATTTATAAGAAGAAATGACAATGATCAGGAATTACCCCAGTGATCAATAATTACCCCATCTGTAGGGGGCAACATTTGATATAGTTTCCTATAATCAATTATAATGTTTACAGTAGATGTGAAACAATTAAACAAAAGCTTACACTATTTTTATATCAAAGAAAAAGAAAGTAACTCAAAATATTTATTATTAAGAGAAGGAGGGGGATCTTTGCAGAAATGTGCACATTTTGAAACCCATCTTTGAAATGGAAAATACAGAAAGCACTTTAAAAGATACTTATTTTGTTAGATTAAACAAAAAATTATTCTTAAGTAAATGTAGTTATACTTTAGTAAAGTGTACAAGCATTCTTGTCCATGTCTTAAATTTGAAAAAAAAATTTTTTTTTTAAATAAAATTTAGGTGATCATTATTAACCCCAGAAACAGAGTGATCGTGAATTACCCCGGGTCACCCTAAATTCCAAATTTTAGTATCTTCTCTGTTCAAAAATCTTTTGTGTACATCAAAAAATAAATCAACAAAAAAAAAATTCTTCTAAATTTCGAGAGTGACTACATCCCTTAAAAATTCCCTTTAACCATTACAGGTGACTTTTGAGTTTGGAAAAGTATAATTTGAAATATTAGGGTACTTAAAACAATTTCCATAAAATTTCCCATTAACTACAAGGTTAAGATGTTATCAATTCCAGCCAACTCTTTATTTTTGGTTGATTACACCATTACTTGGATTAGAAAAATAATCAATTAAACTTGAAAGAAACATTGATTGGTTTCAGATTGTTCGGGAAATATGGATTTCCAGTTTATAATGCTGACCACTTTTCCGTCATGTTGTTAGGCTCAAAATACTGTTACCTGACATGCTTATGTCATATTAAAATTACGATCAACCAATTTCATACCCTTGCGTGCGATTACAAATGATTTTTTCATTTGGAGCAAAGTTGGTCTGATATTCCTAAAACCATGGGAAAAACAGGTATTGGTCTTAACCTCATGTATCAGTATATTTCATGTTAAATACACAAGTCATAAGCATTTAAGACTTAAAATAATATAATTCTCAAATTGATGTAATGAAGAAACAAATTTATGACATTTATGTAAGCAATATTCACTGTTTAATAATGATAAAGAAATACATACATAAAATAAAAACTTTTATATACTTATTTCAATTATTTAGAAAATTATTAAAATTTTTTAGCAGAGGTATGGTAGCAAAAAACACATCAAAACCAAAATTGTATCAAAATCAATTATTATTTAATTTATGATAAGTGGGGTATCATTACAAACACATTAATGTTCACAAAAGGAAGAGAAAAAAATCTTATGTAAACCTTTGGATACCATAACAAAAATTAAATGCCGAAAAGCAAATATAAATTAAAAATTACAGAACATATGACAAACTTTCATAGAACCTTTCTAATTTTGACCATTCATTTTTATTTTCATCATTTAATTTTTGTAACATTTTTCTCAACATTCAAAATATTAACAAAAAATAGGTAATTTTCTGTTAGCCAAGTGTAACTAAAGTTGGCAATTTTTTTTATTTTTTAAATGTCCATTCTGTTTTTTGTTCTAAAAGAATTGAACTCATTTTTGAATGGTTTAATAAGAAATAGTTGAACTCATTTATCAAAGAACCCAAAAATATTTTCATTCACGAAACATTGAATGTTACAATCTTTGAATGAGTAAAAAATTCTGTTTAGATTCAGAAAATATTTTTGATAACATTGTAAGAGAAAAGACAAATGTGATTGATCAACCTTATTATTAAATCAAAAATTTTGCTATAATAGAAGAACACTTACTGAAATAATACCTCCTTCTTCATTCATTACTATGGATCCAACTCTTTGATGCATTTTATCTGTTGCAGATGCCATACTAAAAATGCAAATTCAGAAGTGAGTATTTTATAAAACAAAAGTAAAATAATACAGTCGATTCCCAAAATAATAAAAATTGAATATTTTGAACAATAAGTTGGACTGAACTGTTTTAACAGTCCTATCCAAACTCCCATTTAACTAATGCAGGGTTGTCACTCTAATTTGTAACAAAAAATTCCCTGCATTTTACCTGTACATGTTATACACAATATCAACTCAGTAGCGCGACAGCCCATAGAGGGTCAAGGCCTACTGTGCCATCTCAGTTTTCTTGAGTTTGGGGTGCAGGAGCAGATGTTCCTGTCAGGTGGTCAGTCGAACACGGAACACCCAGTGTTTAGTTCCCAAGCATGCTTAGTACTCATTTTTGACCCACTGAAGCGATGAAAGGCTGAGTCAACCTTACCCGGACCAAGGATCGAACCCAGGATCTGTGGCACGGGAGCGTGAAGCGCTATCACTCAGTCACCGGGCATCGTTATACACAATATATTAAGCGAAAACACAAATACTGCTCCCTTGTGTCAGCTATATTGAGCTAACTACACTTTTAATTACTGGAAAAACTTAGAGTAAAAAAGGAACAGCTGAACATACTTAAATAATGCTAAATGAAATAGTTTAGCATGGCTGAATTATCTTCCTTAAATATCCTATAGATTGCACTTTAAGTGTACACTATTTTTAAAAGGACAAAAATAAAAAACAAATTCACTGTATTTTCCCAGTTTGTAAAGAAAAACTCAAAATTCCTTGCCTTTCTACCTGTTAATTTTGGTGATTTTTTAATTCCCTGAATTTTTAGGTTTTCCCAGTAGAGTGGCAACCCTGTAATGTTATTTTATACACTTATAGTGAACAGCTGAGAAATTGGGAGTCCGTTCAATAGTAGACATAAATTTCTATTCCAAAGATCTTTTTTTATTCTTTTAACTTATTGCTTTTAAGAGTTCAGCTGAGAAATTGGGAGTCCGTTCAATAGTAGACATAAATTTCTATTCCAAAGATCTTTTTTTATTCTTTTAACTTATTCCTTTTAAGAGTTCGGACTACAAATAGCAGCAGTCCTTTTCATTATGTTAAATCTCACTCTATTTTATACCTATCTCTTTTAAATAGGAGAAAAGGTAGTTAAAAAGCACATTGACAGTATAAAGTTATAATAAATACATTATATTGTAATTGATAAACAAGTGCATGATTTAAAACATTGCTAATATTGTTTTTAACAAGAAAGTTGCATACTTAGTAGTTACAATCAATTTAATTCATATGAATTAAAAGGAAAAAAATAGTGTTTAGATATATCAATATAACACTTAATTTTTAAATTCGAATCCAGGACAAGGCATAGATGTTCTTTTATTCTCTGTACTTTCTGTCTTAACCGTGGGAGTCCACCTAATTTTGTGCGTAAATGCCTGAATTGATGAAATGTTAACACAGGTGGGCATTGGAAATGAAATATAACACTTAATAACAAAAAGACCTTAATACTTGTTCACATTAATTTTATAAAATGATAGTTGATTATAATACATTTTGTAACCATGATTTTAATATTGAAATGCTAAATGTTGCCCCCTAAACACAACAATAGTAATAGAGTTTAAAGTTGGAAGGGATCTAGAAGCAAATTAGGGAACTCATCAGGGGAGTATTTGTTAATATTAAAGAGAACAAATAGCAATATTATAAAACAATTTTGTAAAAGAGAAACATAAATATTACTTAATATGGATATTCGCTGTTAATTTAACAAAAGAAATTTTATCTCTCTCATTAATTAGAGGATACAAGGCAATGAAAAGATTTTGTGAACACAAAACGAAAACAGCTCATGAATGCATGACACAAAAACTATTTGCCAGAAGTTACGGTAAAATGAAAAGCTAGCTTGTAGCTTAGATAATAAAGTATAACTATGCATTGAACATTTTTCTATAAATGCATTTGGAGTACAACTAAACTCAAGCTTTCTCCTCTATGGTCTGTATCCATTAAATTAGTTTCGGATCGATAAAATGTGTTGAGTGCATACAAATTATTTTCATTTATAATATGTCGGGAGGTATCCTAAACAAAAGCATAGAAGTGAATTAAAATAATATATATTCTTTCTTGCGTTACTATAAAACAGCTTAATGATATTTTTTATTTTACCAATCATTTTGAAGTATGAGTTTGACGATGAGAAATCACACAGACAACTTTCAAAATAGTGGTATGCTCTTTGTTTAATAATACAATAAAAATTTTATTATTTGAAAATATATATTATTCTATGATTGCATGTATAGCTTCCAACTTTCCTCTATTCCTTTTTAAATAATTTTTATGGATTATATGTTTATTTCAATCTTTATTTCATTAATCGTCAATATCCTATTGAAACTTCTTGTAAATCAGATCCTTTTTTTTTAAATTATAATTTTTAAAGTAGAAGATTGTTTTCGATTGAAATTGCTGAGGATTTGTATAAATATAAAGTTATGTTAAACAATTATGAAAAAATTGATGTAATAAAAGAATTGTTCTAAACTATGACAAAAATCTATCAACTTTAATGAATAATTATTTTGATGTTGATGCAAATGCCTAATCATCTGAAATGCGAAAAGGGAAATAAATTATGTTTAATATCATATCTATCTATATTCTGTTATTTTTATATATTCAATAGCTATTTTATTTGTGAACTTTGTTAAGAATAAGAGAGGTATAAGAAGTTAGTTTATGAAACTAGATTGTTCTGGTAGTATTTCTCTATTGGTGTGTTACAACCATCTTGCTGCATAATTTATGTATAATGTATGGTTTTCCTTTTTTTTAAATAAAATTTTTGCGATTATAATCATGAAATTTATTTTATAGGTAAGTGATTGATCTTGAGTAACAACTGATCCAGGAATACATTAAATTTATAACTTTAAAATTCTTCAAATCTTTTTACTTTTAAAATTAACAATTATAATAATAAAAAAAATTAAAAGTATCAAGGAAATCTATATTAAAAAGTTTTAACATCAGTCCTGTTTGCTCTTCTCCGAATTAGAAAAGTTCTATGGCAATTAGCACGAGAAAGTTTTCCATATCAGTACTTGCAGCAAAAAAGTAGCCAAATTTTGGAGCAACAAAGCAGTAGCACTAGAAAAAGTAAGAAAATATTAAAAACATCACAAAGGGGTTAACGGTTATGCTCCGCGCCAATCACAACAACATATTTGGTTACATTTTTACTCAAATTTGAGAAACCCTTTGGTATCTTAGCAAAGTAGCTGCTAAAATTATTAAAGGAAAGCTGGAGATTATTTAAAAGCTAGGGTTGAAACACGACGCCCAGTGGCTGAGTGGTAACGCTTCGCGATCCCGTGCCACTGGTCCTGGGTTCGATCCTCGGGACGGGCAAGGTTGACTCAGCCTTTTATCCCTTCAGTGGGTCGTTAAATGAGTACCAAGCATGCTTGGGAACTAAACACTGGGGGTTCCGCGTTCGGCTGACCAGGACCACCTGACCGAAACATCTGCCCCTGCACCCCAGAGCCCAAGAAAACTGAGATGGACACAGTAGGCCTTGGCCCTCTATGGGCTGTTGCGCCACGTAGTTTAGTTTAGTTAGGGTTAAAAACATGAAATGGAAAGAGATGTTTGACTCTCTATTGAGGTGAGAGTTAGTAATGATTTTGAATATTCTTATTATGATGAGTGGTAAGAAAATGATGAAAAATCTTAAAATGAGCTGTCTAAGCCCGTTCTTATCTTAAATTTTTTTTTAATGCTTTATTGAAGGAAGCTAAAACCAAGTTGATAGTTTCAAAGTTATTCATGGGTTTAAGTGTAAGTAGACAATTCGCAATCACATCGCTCGTATACGTCATATGGGGAGAAGACAGGTTCCATGTCTTGACTCTCCTGCTCTTCTTGGTTGTAATGTACTACAATATTTTTCCCTTTCTTTATATTTTTCGTATTTAACTGTCAAAAAAAATTTTTTTTTTAATTTCCTCGACGCTTTTTTTAGAACTATGTTAAATGTAGCTTTTAGTTCTATATAGTTTTCTTAACTTAAAAGTTTTTAATATGTTTGAAAAGCAGTACAGAAATTATCGTACTTCCTCCTTCTGTGACTGACCATTTGCAGTTGCAACTCACGAATACGCCATATGGGGAGAAGTCTATGTCTCGACTCTTCCCTCTCATCCTCTTCTCAGTTATATAGGAATGTACTGTGATATTTCCCCCATTCTCGATATTTTTTATATTTACCTGTCAAAAATATTTTTCTTAATTTCCACGACGTAAAATTTCCACTAAGACTAGGGAACTCCTCGATCGAGTACTGCAAGAAATCGGCCGTTGTGGGGGACTTTTTGATGGAGCTAACCTGCATTTGCTTCACATGCTGAGGAAAACCACGATAACTTCCCACGGTTAACCTAACGGCAAGGGGAGTCTAACCCATGATCAGTCTACCACATAGGATATTTTACGGCAACACTCTGGTCGGTACAAGCCAGATCCGAAATATGTGTCAACCAGCCATCACTGGATCGAATCTGGTTCACATCATTGGGAGGCGAACGGTCTATCCCCTGAGTCATCATGACTCGAGCACTAGAGATTAATGAAAAAAGCTAAAATATGCTTGAAGAAACAAATTTCTGCTGCATAAATGCGGGAACAAAGAGGGAGGATTGAGGAAGAAAGAGAATTCCCATGTGTTTGGTTTAGAATGCAGCTGCCAACTCCACTCATGTTTTAGTTTTTTAATAAAATATTAAGAAGTGTATTTATTATCAAGCTTAATTTTTTAGTCTGTTTTTCATATCTGTAAAGGTGAGACATTGCAATCAAAGGTTTGACCACATTCCAACTAGCTATGACACTCTACTAAAGCTCTGTGTCATTGTAGACTCCTCTGACAGCAGAGAAAGAGTCATAAAATTTTATCAATCTGGAAAAATTAGAAAATGTTATTCGAAATGTTAAGAATGTTAGAAATGTTAAGAGTAATGAAATAATAATTAATAAGAGTTTGAGGTATCTAAAAGTGTGATTTATTTTTAAACAGTAGTAAATTTTTCTAAAAGTGGTAATTTTTTAAAATTTACTTATTATTAAATCTAATTTCAGATATAACTGTTTTGAAACATATTTTCTTCTTGAGAATAAAGTGTAACTAATAAATAATAATAAAATTTATTCCACCGATTACAATAATCTGAGAAAATCAATGAAACTAGTATAGAAAAGTCAAAATGGTTGTTTTTTACCCCCTTCAATGTTTGTGGATACTGGGTGATTGCCACAAACATAGTTTCGCATGACTTTATCACCAAATAGAAGTTATTATCATTAAAAATTTCGATTATTTTGTGCTTCAATGTTTTATGCTATTAGTGGCTTAAATTGCAACTATATGTGGTGGGCTTACCATCCAGAAATCTGCCAGCTCTTGGATGTGCGGACCATGGCATATTCAATTTTTTTAGGGGGGTGAATAAAACAAAATCGGAAGTTATGAGTTCTGCGCTTAAGTTTTTGACGCGTCAGATCAAGTTTTTGCTATCCCTTTTATTGGTATTTATTACTACAGAATTCCTAAGTTTTAAAACTCTAGGTATTTTTAATACAGCAAAATTATGACGCCATCTAGTGAGAGAACCGGTTCCATGTCTTGACCATCTCCCCTTCCCTCTCTTCCTCTTCTCAGTTATATAGGAATGTATTACAATATTTTCCTTTTTATTAATATGTTTCGTATTTAATTGTCGCAAATATTTTTTGAAATTTCCACAATGCTTTCTTTTAGAACTATGTCCAATGTAGTTTTCAGTTTCATATAGTTTCCTGACTAAAAAGCTTTAAATATATTTGAAAATCGAGACAGAAGATGACGAACTTCTTCTATGGCTCTCCACACGCACAGGCTAAAGGTGAAAGCATGCAAGGTTTTGCCATAAGTTGAGAGTTCTGATTTATGCCACCTATTGCCCATTTCTATCGCCAATTACTTCCTAATGGGTAGCAATATATTTTTCTAATCATAAAATTTTTTTTAATTATCTTTTTTTGTTTGTTCCTAAACAAGGCATCCGTTTGAGAACTAAAATACATTGGTCCAATGTATTGTCCCATTGGTCCAATGTATAATTTTTCGAAATTCAAATTTAAAATAGTGATAATGATTAATAAAGCAAATAAGGCTTTTCTTGTTGAATTTTTTGTTATGTTTTTTATATACGAGGGGTGTTTTTTAAGTAAGGGCTGTTTCAAAATAAAAACCAAGCGAAAGTGAATTTTCAAAAAGCAAATTTATTTTCAGATTCCACATACGTTTATATTTTTTTCAACATAGTTGCCGATTTGTTTAAGAATTTATCATACTTTACAACTAGATTTAGAATACTCTCTTCATAGAAACTTGCCGCCTGCTCCGATAACCAAGAGGTCATGACCGTTTTTACGTCTTCTTCATTCTTGTTGGGGTTGTCACTAAAATTATGTTTGAACTATCGGAAAGAAAAAGATCACTTAGCGCTAGGTCTGAACTGTTGGGAGGGGTGGTCCAAAACTTCCCAGCCAAAAGAGTCCAATAAGAGTGCCTCGCTGCGAAGGGAATCATTGTGAGTAGCAAAATCCCCTGTCAGCACAGTGTTGCCAGATTTGGCTGCAAGTTGCTGACTGGGCTACTTTTAAAAGTCCCTGCTACTGAAAATCGAATTTGGGCTACGCGCTACTTTTATGGCTACTCATTATTTTTCAAACGCTACGAATATTAAAGATGTGGTACTTTTTTTTCCCTTACAGAAATACTTTTTGTAAAAAAAATTTCCTTTCCCATTATAAAATGATTTTGAAAATTCTTTATCTTTTTAAAAAAGG